CTATACTCGGATAATCTTGGAGCAACATCATTTTGTGCCAATCCCATATTTCATTCACGAATGAAGCATATGGCATTGGACTACCATTTTGTTCGTCAACTGGTACAGGTTGGGAGTCTTGTGGTACGCTACATCCCCACTGCTCAGCAGCCCGTGAAAGTCCTTACCAAACCTCTACCTACCACTCGTTTTCTCCTCCTACGTTCCAAGATTGGCGTTGTTGACACATCGTCCATGTTGCGGGAGTGAATTGCCTAAGAAAATATGGAGAGAGACGAGCTTAAGGCTCATTTTTGCTTGTCCTTTTGCTAGCTCTTTGTCGAAGATTTTATAGACGGCTTCAGATCCATGGTGGCACAATGTAACTAGGGTTTTGGGGTCACTCCTTGTTTTGGACTCTATTTGTGTTTATAAGTTATGGGCTCAATTTGTTGTTATATGAGTTGTGTTTATGATGGACACATGTTACGGTCTCTTGAATCGGCTTTTAATTTTCTTGTTGGTTATACTTTGTAGTTGTCTTTCCTTTATATTTTCCCTACTGTGTAAACATATTAGTTTATAATGAAACTGTCTTTGTAAAAAAAAATAGCAAAGCTACAATAATATCACAATTGTATATACCAATTTCAAATAAACTCATAAAACTAAGATGGTCAAAGCCTTGTATCTGTTGATTGATAATAAGCACAACATGAACTTGACATGCTCTTCCAATAAAATTTTATCATGTTTTTCATATGGGCTAACACTACTATAATAACACTTTATCTTTCAAAAATATCAGTTGTTTTTTTTTTTTTTTGGTAGGAAGACGGACGTCAAGACGTCCTAGTTTGTATTAATAATAGAACGATCCATGGAGATTGCTATGGAGTCATACAGAATCCAATTACAAAGTGTTGGATCGTAGGGATGTGTACCAAAAGGGGCATCATGGCCCTTGCAAGCCAAAAAAACGGCTACGAAATTTTCTTCTCTATAGACATGGGATATAGACACATCCCAATCAAAATCTAAAAGTCGTTCAATCCGAGCAGCAATCAAACCATGTTTGTGATCCTTGTCCTTGCGGTACTTAATGATGCTGATAACAGTAGAAGAATCCAGCCTAAGCTCCACTTTGCGAAAGCCTTTCTCCCAAGCACGATGGATCCCAAGCACGATGGAGGCTGATCTCTGCCCCCTTCAACTCTGCCATGGTGATCATGCAGTTCCCAAAATTGCAAACAAACGCGTCCAGACAGCACCCCAAGTGGTCACGGATAAGGCCACCTGCTTATGCATCTCCTGAACTTGGAAGAACGGACACATCATTTGAATTTGTATCCATCCCTTGCGGGGTGGTTTCCACGCAATGGAGGCAGAGATGTGTTGATTCTGTGGCAACAACAAGCATCTTTCGTCATTGTTTTTCGCCTGTTGGTAGACGCTAACCCACGAACAGATCCTGCTAATAAGGACACGTTCATAGTATCTCTTGCCTTCCATAACTTCTTCGTTGCCTTGTTTCCAGATCAGCCAGTAGGCAATCCCAAACTCGATCCCTCCCTCCTCTTTCTTGAGATTGTCAATCATCCATTGCTTGAAGTTTCTCAAGTCTTGTGGTTGATGACCAATCTTCAAGAATCGCCTAGCTCCCTCGGTCTTCTTGCACTGCCTGATGATGTGCTTCGTTGTCAATCTCACCCTCACAAGCTTTGCAGTTCGCATCAGCTGACATGTTCCTTTTTGCTCTTTCATGGTTGGTGAGAAGCTTGTTTTGTATGACCAACTAGAGGAAGTGTTTCACTCTGCTTGGACCCTTCCATTTCCACAACTCTTTCCAGCCTGGTAGAGGTTCCTTCCCGATCTCATTCGCTGCAAGTAGGTAGGCAGATTTGAATCTGACCCTCAAATCGTGGTGTCTTCTCCCAAATCATGAGCTGGTGTCTCCATTCCTGCAATACAACAGATGAGGTCATTAGGCAGGAGTGATTGGAGACGCCTCCAATCCCACTCACCTCGATCGTCAATCATGCCAGCAACCGTCATGAATCATTCCTCCTCTGTCAACGCTCTTAGATAGTGCTCTCCCAAAATTATTTCATGCTCGATCCACAGGTGGTTCTAGAACTCAGTCGTTCTTCCATCTCTTATACTCCAGACTGTTACTTGTTGCGTGAAAGGGAAGGCTTTATGGATGCCCCTCCAAAGGCTGGAATGGTTGTTGTTTTTCATCCCCACAATCCTTCCCTCTCGTTGATGGAAATACTTCCCCTGCATCTCTTTCACCCAGAGCTTGTCCTTGTTGTTTAGGATCTTCCAGGCAAGTTTAACCATAAACGCAAGGTTCATACTACGAGCAATCCTTAATCCAAGCCCTCCTTGATGCTTTGGGCTACAGATTCTGTCCCACGAGACCAAATGGACTTTCCTCTTCCCCTCTTGTGATTCCCAAACGAACCAACGAATCCTGTGATCCATTTCATCACAAATGGAAATAGGAAGCATAGTAGTTTGCATAGCAAGTTGGAAGTGCATTTAAAACAGATAGAGCAAGGGTGACCCTTCCACCAAAGGAGAGGGTCTTTGCCTTCCAACTTGTCAATTTCTTTTCCATTTTTTTAGGATATACTTGTAGGTTCCCTTTGTGATTCGTCCATGAAGAATAGGCACCCCCAGGTACTTCCCCATATCATCTGTTTCTTGAATCCCTCGTCTGTAGCAGATTTCTCTTATATTTGAAGTCTTGGTGTTCTTTAAGAACAGCACTCTTGACTTGTCTTTGCCGACAAGCTCTCCTGAGGCCGAGCAGAAGTTCTCCATGCAACTCATCACCATATATGCCTGAATAGGATTGGCTTCTGCAAAGAGCACGAGGTCGTCAGCGAAGAACAGTTGGGAAAGAGGGGGTCCTCTTGGGGACAGGGAGAGTGGTTTCCATTTCCCATCCATCACAGATTTCTCAATGCAGTGGCTCAATCTCTCAATGCAAAGGGTGAAAAGGTACGGTGACAGTGGGAATCCTTGGTGAAGTCCCCTGCTAGGCGAGAAGCTTTCAGTCTCTCCACCATTCCAAAGCACCTGCAGCTGTGTAGAAGAAACACATTGCATAACAATAGAAACAAAATTGTTAGGGAACCCTGCCAGGATCAAGGTCTGTTCAAGGAAGCTTTTGCTAGATCGATCTTCAGCAGCATCATGCCCTTTTTGCATGTTCTCTTAGCCATGGTATGCACTGTTTCCTGCAAAATTATAATGTTGTTAGATATATGCTGATTTGGGACAAAAATGGTTTGGTTCTGTTTAACCAACATGGGCATAAATCCTTTGATCCTGATAGCAATACACTTAGCCACTGTCTTGTATCCAACGTTGCATAGACTAATAGGTCTGAACTCAGCCATGGATGTAGCAGTATCCTTCTTGGGAATAAGGACCAGCATGGTTTCATTGATTGATCTGATTCGACTGTGATTGATGAAGCAATCCTTAATAAACCTGGAGAAGTCATCCCCAACATTCTCCCAACATTGTTGGAAGAAGAGGGCATGGAAGCCATCTTTTCCAAGGGCCTTGATCCCGTTCATGTCATTAATGATTGCTTTGATTTCCTCATTGAATGGTGGAAGGTTGACAGTGGAAAGCAGTCTTTGGCTGATCTCAGGAAACAGACTTGGGATGGCAATATTGGAATGATGTGCATCGGCAGTGAACAACTTGAGAAAGAACTCTTTGGCCATTTCCAGGAGGGTATCAGGGTCAGTAATCCAGCTTCCATCATCTGCTTTGAGGCAGGTGATCCTATTCCTTCTCCTCCTTGTCAAGGTGCTGGTATGGAAGAATCGAGTGTTCTGGTCCCCAAAGAGGAACTAGTTGGACCTTGATTTCTGAAGCCACAAGATTTCCTCCTGCCAAAGTGTTTCCTCAAGCACTTCTCTTATTTTTTGTCCATCTCTAGTGAACTTCTGCTCTATGATGATTCATTGAACTTTTCAATCTTTTGGAGGCGGCAAGCCAACTATCTTTTCCTTTTGAAAATGTTTCCAAAAATCTTCTTTTTCCAAACTTGGAGATTCTTAGAGAGTGCCTGCAAGGAAGAAGGAAAATCATAGCAGCAATTCCACGACTACGAGAGGAAAGGAAAGAACTCAGGGTGAGTAATCCAAGGAGCTAGGAATTGGAAGTGTCTCACCCGCTTTTTGTCACATTGCTTTTGGTTGCTAGTGAGGATTGGGCGATAATCATATTTAAGCTTCATCAAGTAGAAGGTAGAGGATGAAGGGAACTGTTGCATCCACTCCAAATTACCGAGGCTACGGTCTAGCCTTTCTCTAATTCTTGACATTTTAGTGAACCACATGAACTTCGGACCTGCAAATCCCAGGTCGACGAGGCCACATTCATTTGCTTGACTAAACGGCGATCCACCCATCTTCTCAGACGGTCTTGTTATTGAGTTGAAGTCGCTAGTAAGTAGCCACGGGATTTTAGTTCTTCTCCCAATGTTCTTAAGTTGTTGCCACAAGTCCTTACGATCGTGTTCGTTAGGACTGGCATAAACCGCCGTGATCACCCCCTTCTCTGTGTTCCCACAACAGTAACGGAGATGGTTAAACTGTTTGTGGCAATCAATGAGTTCTAGAGAGAGCTGTTGGTTGTCCCATAGTACCCAGATACCTCCACTGAAACTATAAGCATCTGAAATTTCCCAGGAATCCAGACCAAGGGTCTTGATAACATCAATTGCTTCTTTCCCGCTAATACATGGTTCAAGGATGCAAACCACATTAGGAGAATTCGCAGCTTTGTACAGGTCAAGAGTCGACTTAAACTTATGGTGCTTCGCACCCCTACAATTACAGGAGAGGATTTTAATCATCAAAATGGAGGAAGATGATTCTCTGCAGCACCCTAGGAGTGGGAATTAAGTGGCATCGACGGCCACATTCATCGCACCATTGTCTTTCTTGTTCTCGACCTTATCCGATGAGGTCACATTGTTGCTCCTCTACTCATCAAGGATCACATTGTCTTGGCCAAAAGAAATCTTCCTGGGAGGGAAACCTCCTTCTTGAGCTCTCATTGGCACTGCCCTGAGTTAGGCGCTCTTGTATTTTTGGAGTGCTCTGTTTCAAACGGCTGCATTTGATGCTCTCATCAGGAGGTTTCTTTTGCTTGTACTCACCCTTGCCAGTGGGAGTGGGTGTTAACCTTTTTTCCTTCTTTGGTGGAGTGGCAGCGGCTCCTTTCTTGGCCTTGTCTCCAGCTCCTTGTTTGTGCAAGAGCGTGCTAATCGCTAGCACTAGAGCTTGATTCATTTTGGCTTTGGCGGAGAAAGCTGGCTTTGTGGGGACATCAAGTGATGCCTTCTGATTCTCCTTACTTGTGTCATTCCCCTGTTTCAATTTACCTTTTATCGGTGTCTTTTGTAGGACAGTTTTCACTCTTTCTTTCCCCTTTTGAGTATCTTTCGTTTGCTGAGTCATGGCTTTTTTCTGCAATTGAAAGCTAGGGTCTTGCTCAGCATCATTCTGACTTTTGTTGATATCTTCTCTGGGTTTGTCTTCTGCTTCATCTGTATACTATGCTTCCTCCCTTTCCTCCTCCATTAGTGTGCTAAACCGAGAACCTGACCCTGCTGAAGCTTTCTGTTGGCTTCCTTCCCATTTCCCTTCTTTATTATGCCCTTTTTTCTATGGTGGTTTCATCCCTCTGGTCCTAGTGGCAAAAATATCACTTTTGGTACAAACTATGGGTTATGATAATAATGATAACATAAAATACCACATCGTATAGCCTATTTTCCCACGACATGAATTAACTAAATAGTAAACCAAAATGGCACAAAAATAAGAAACAACAGATAATGTGATTGGAAGGTGATTGGTGTTTGAGAAACCCAAGCGGATAAGATTCAGAAAATGGAAGGTCTTTTAATAGCCTCAGTTCGTTGAAGGCCCAATACTATTGGCCAAAATTATTGGATGGGGAATATGAAAATACACACTCTTATTTAAAAAAGTGTGACATTGTTCGTCATTTTTTATGACCCTATGCAGCTATGTGTATCCTATAACCCACTTAAATAATTTGTAGTGCAAGTATTTACATGTATTTTGAAGATTCTTCTGGGTTGGGCTAGTGTGCTGACACTTTTTTTTGTTAGTCTGGTGTTAACACTAGCTCCAACCAATAGGTTTGGATGAATTTTTCATTTAAATGAGTTGACCACAATTAATGAAGGAGAAAGGGCGAAGGGGCACGCTTAGTATTATGAATAATATTGGAAAAGGGAAGGGGAGTCACGTGTACAGTTAAATGGGAAAGGGAAAATTCTCACCATAAACCACATAATCCTCTACAGAAATAATCTTCCCCACAAACCACGAAATCCATGCCACAAGTTTCTTAAAGTGGCCCAGAAGTTTCTTGAACAGCAGACCTATTTGTAAAATTTTAAAAGTTCAGGTACCAAAATGTAAGGGGGAAAATTATATGTACTAAAATATAATTTTTCTATCAATATTTTTAGGACTTATATGTCAAAATTTTAATTTTTTTCGGTAATTCAAAAATTTAATTTTAGTCACTAAATATTAAGATGTAATAAGTTTGTGTACCAAAACTATAATTTATATATATAAACCTATTACCTCAACGTAGAGAAAGGGGAAAAGGGGTAATTACTATAGTATCCTTACACTGTGTTTGGAAAGAAGTACAAATGAGAGGAGGTGCAAATGCAAGCGGTAAATACAGTTTCCAACACAATTGCACTTGTTTAGATAATCTGTAACAGTAGTGGGTGCAAAACGGGGGTGCAATGTTACTGTTTCGGCTTACATCCCAAATTGGGGTGCAAAGGAAGGAAGGAAGGAAGGAAGAGAGGGGGAGGGGAAAATTATGGATTTTTATTTTTTTAATTATATAATTTTTATTTTTTATTATTGTTAATTTCCTTACTTATAGTTATCATTATTGTAGACATTGTTCGGGGTTGACCGTTTGACTCCGTGAGCAAGTTTAGATCTCTTGATTAACTCGAATTTGCATTGAAAATTAGAGATAAAAAGTGTTTGTGGAACTTGTTTGACTAAGTTTGACCATATTCTATTTCAAGTTAAATTACACAAGAACCTTGTAAGATAACTAGTTAGGAGTTGGGCTTCGAGGTCGGTCGACCAATGATAATTACAGTTGTTATAAGTAATTATTATTTTGAACACTATTATATAATATTTATATTTATTAAATTATATTAATTATAATTAGTATAAATTTTATTTTATTATTGTGATAATATTTTATAAATTTGATAAATTAATTTTATAATAATATAGTTACTTACTTTCACTTTATTTGCACCTCCTACTTTTTCACCCAAACAATAATTTACCATGCACTTACACCCCCAACCAATTTGCACCTCACGCAATTTACCCCTCAACTTACATCACCTCGAATTTGCACCCCTTTATTGCCAAACATAGCGTTAGTGAAACTGTGAAAGTGTTAGCACCATGCGTGTTAGCACCTTATCTTCTTCCCTTCTTACCTTATCAAGCTTTTGTTACCTTAAAAGTCTGTTCATTTTTCTCACTTGGGTATTCAACACGTTCATCATTTTTCGATGCTTCTTTTTTTTGCCAAGCCCAGTCATTATCTTGTATTTTTTTATAATGGTGAATTTTATTAAAAGCAGCTAAAACCAAAAAGAACAAGATACAACAAAGTCATATGGGAAAAACAAACAGGAAAAAGAACACGGATCAAAGAGCTTGATCCCCAAAACAAAAGGGAAAACCGAGCCAAGAAAAGGAACGAAAGAGAAAGGAGGCAACGAAAAGGAAGAAAAGAAGAGAACTACATAAGGCCTGTCAAAAGCAGCAGCAAGACACACAAACAAGCACAAAAGCCACCCAGTGAGCAGTCCACTAAAAGAAACACACGCTTGCAGAAGAAAAGAAGGCGCAATCCAACCAAGCTCGACCGAACCACTCAAAGCCTTTGCAGTAGCTCCTCGAGATAATGATTCCCTTAAACTTTGTCCACTTTGCCTCCAACAACAGTCCATTCCACCGTATCCCTGTGCGCCTTTCGAGCAACAATCTTGGCTTGGGACCAACTATCTCTGAAGATCCTGTTATTTCGTTCATTCCAAATCTGCCAACACACAGCATGCAGAACACCACAGCGAATCCAGCTCATTCCATCATCAGAACAGGAGATTGGCCGCCTGGAAATGACTTCAAAAGAGTCCCTAGTCGGAGCCTCGTCAATTCCAACAGCCCTCCTCAACCTGTCCCATACCTCCTTGCTGAAATCACAACAAAAGAAGAGATGATCGACTGTCTCCTCTTCCATCCTGCACATCTCACATCTGTTCGCAAGTTGCATACCCCTCTGCTTAAGATTATCAATAGTGAGAATACTCTTGTGAGCCAAATGAAAGCACGTATTTTAGTTGGGACGATCGACCTCCAAACTGAATCCGCAGGGAAATTAGGAAGACATTTGAAAGTCTCCCTACTAAGCACCTATACATAGAAAGAACAGAAAAGGAATTCTCTGGGTTTGATTGTTTTGAGCTACTCAAAACAGCGATTGAAGGGTATTCATGTAATAGTATATTATTATCAACACGATTTCATTGAACTTTCTTACCTACATGTATAGACAAATAATTTAGACTAGACTACTTATTATATTAGTTTCTTAGATTTCTCAAGTAAAGTACTGTTGTCCTCCAAAATAAAGTTAAAAAGAAAGATTATAGTTCGTTATTGTTTTTATTAAGAGGGAGGCTGTTACAGCCAAAGAAAAGAGGGGGCAGAGAGCAAAACAAACTCAAAGTAGTGCTCTGCTTGTTTGCCTCTAATGAAACAGTGAGACACCACAAAAACCGACCAGCTGCAAGCCCAAGCTAGGCTCTAACTAACCAAGTCCAAAAGAAAAAGCTACTAATTATTGACAATGTGTCGAGGGAATCTGACCCCTCTAATGTCATCCATGACAATGGAGGGTTTAATGTTGTGAAGTTGGACTTCAAATGTCCATCTTTTTTGCAACTAGCTTTAAATTCTTGTGGTGGAAAAACAACATTAAATCAATATTCGAATTGATTCACCTAATCTCAACAATATTAATATAATTGGGCACTTCAAATTTATATGCTTTGGGCATTTCAAATTAATGAAATTCGAAGAGGATATTCAGGCAAGGGGAAGCCAAAATTTTCATATTAAGGGACCAAAATATCCTCGAATAAGGCAGCTCTCTTCTATCAAACATCATTTAGTAACCATGACTGGTTCTCTTTGTACCATATGGCATTAAGATTTTATATGACCATTTTTTCCACATCTAATGCATCCGGCAGATATTTTGCTATGATATTTTTCTAAATCGGTTCATTTAGATTGCAAAATGGGCCAGGCCCAACCAGAAATGATACAAAGCAAAAAGTTACAAGGATTGGAAGATCAAGACAAAAACGCCCAAACAAAAAACAATCTGGAACCCCATAGGCCGAGACCAAGGACAAGCATTGTCAAAGTCCTACAAATCCTAGCCATCTCTTGCCTCCCTCTCGGATCCTCCAGCCCCGCGGCCGAACCTCAACCGCCATTTGACCGAGCATGCACCGTCGACCCCCACACCAGCCACCACACGCCAAGGGGGGTTTGATTCAGTCGAACTCGAATGGTAGGATGAGGAAGAGTGCCTTCCGAGCAAAACACCTAAAGCCAAATCGCCATCTTCCTGAGGAAACCATCAAAGCGATCGGGCGGCCGACGAAGGAACCAGAGGGAAGAAATCATCTTCCTTCAAGCTCTCGAGACAGTGTCCTCGCCAAAGGCTGCATCTTCAAATCACCAAGCTCTACAAAGTGAAACAAGGATGTAGACAAAGGAAAGAAGAGGAGAAAACAAACCAAATATATTAAAGATCTGGCCTCCATTTTGCATTAAAGATTTTCTATGAAAGATTTTCTACCATAATTGGTCGTGGATGTTTATTCCTGGTTTTTTGGAATTATCTTGGTTGAGTATATTTGTTGCGCCCGCTTCCTCTTCAAATACTCTGTTTTTTCAATGAAGTTTCCTCTTCATTTTTATTTCCCCATTCTACCCTGACATCGAACGAGAGAACTCTTTTATAAAACTTGCTACACTTCACAAAATTCCTTTTTGTTTTTTGCTACCACGGTTGAAAAGGTATACTTCCTGGTTGTCCCATGTCGCCTTTCATAGAGCATGAAACAGAAAGTTGCTCATTCAAAGTCTTTCCCATTTTGCATTGATTTGATAGGCAGAACATTTGAATTGTGAGTCTTCTGGCCATTTGGAATCTTTTTTTTTTTTCAATGATTGAAAAATCGTATGTATCAATGGTTCGACCAAGAATTTTTTTTTCTTGATGGCAAAATGGTAGGCGGTATTTAGCGTATTAAACAATTGAGTCATTATTAAATTATGGTTTAAGTATAAAATATCATACCGCTGACTTTTTCAATTCAACCTCTGATACGGTTTTTCATCGGACATCACACATATTGTGATTTCTTCTTTAGGTCACTTGGTGTTTATACAGGCTTCATAATCCTTTACCCTGAGAGAACATCCTTTAATGCAGTTTGCAACATAAATCATAAGTTCATTATTTAAAATATATAATAACTAGTCGGGGAATGCGCGTTGTCGTGAGTTTGTCAACTATTGAGTCGTTGTGGTTGCCCATTCAGATGTGGTTCCCTTTACTGTGATGTATTTACGATGGTAATTTTGTTTTGATTTGTTTTTTCTTAGGATGGCAATGGTTTGTGATGATAATTTATTTTAGATGTATAAATAGGTGAAAATTTAATGTATAATAGTAGAAATAACTAATCTGGGGAAGAAATGTCTAGAGAGAAGCAAAGGGAATAAAACGTTGAACTCATTTTAAAATTCCATACCTTCACGCACAATCGCAAAGAGTCGGCTAGTTCACAGTTGACCAACCAAATTCAAGAACCGATATAATATTATAATTGATTCACAATTTTACTGATCTTTTAAGTCCTTATTAAATTTGTACCTCCCATAATATTTTTTAATTGTTCAATATATTTGGGAAAACATTTAACCAACAATAAGCACTAAATCCGAGTGATTTTGTGATTCAACACGCAATTTCAAACAACTGTCTAGTTCATAGTTGATTGACAAATTCAAGAATCGATTCAATATTGTAATTGATTCACAATTTAACGGATTTCGTCAAATTCCTATCTTATTTAATTCTAATTAAAAATTATTTTGATGTCTCTTTTTTGTAATACTCTTTTTTTACTCCCAATTTCTTTTGTCATTAGCTAGCCTTTATGAGGCATCCAACTTTTCCCTCAACAAGTGTGCTTATTTTGTTATCTCACAATTTCAATTTCTTTCGTCATTAGCTAGCCTTTAAAAAGGAGCGGATATAGTTGAAAACCAACCGTCTGTAAAATCTGCAAAACTCGGTCGTATCACGACATCGTGATATGATGATAGGAAGTATAATCGTGTCATAACATCGTATCACATAAGTCGTGATATGATGATATAACCGAGATTTTGCAGGATTTTTACACGAAGGAGCTTTGTTACTGAACCAAGACCTACCAAAAATTACCAATAAAAATTAATATATTTAGTTAATATCATACAATTACAAATTTCCGCTCTGCTTGTCATCCAACCAGTTTACTTCGTAGACATCTGAAATTGCCATTTTTCTACAAGTAAAAGAAACTTTCAGCAATGGACAATACATTTTTTTTTTTTAATTATTCGTTTGGTACTTTGGTTAATGCATTAGCCAAGAAATCCATTCGGCATGAGCCAAAAGAATACACCCACTCAACCATCGATGATCACAAAATGGTCAGACAGCCATAACCGACGCACACATTGTGCAGCACATTTCGACAATGTCACCATCTCCTCTTCCTATATAAACCAGAATTTCATTCATGATTCATCCCATCAACCCAAAGCTCCACAAAACCAAAACACAGAGAGCCTTTGTTTCATTTCCAAAGTGAATCAATCAATCATGTCGAAGAACGAGTTGGTGATCTTGGACTGCTGGGCAAGCCCATTCTGCATGAGGGTGAAGATTGCCTTGGCCGAGAAGGGACTTGACTACGAGGAAAGGGCAGAGGATCTGTTTGGAGGGAAGAGTGACCTCCTGCTCACTTCCAACCCTATTTACAAGAAGGTCCCCGTGTTCTTGCACGACAGCAAGCCTCTCTGCGAGTCGACCGTCATCGTTAGCTACATCGACGAAACGTGGCCTGCTCCTGCCTTGCTCCCGTCGACCCCTTATGAACGTTCCCAAGCACGTTTCTGGGCTGACTACATTGACAAGAAGGTACTTCCTTTTCTTACTCGTTGACAATACAATTCGTACTCGTTTGATGCGAATAATCGACAGTGTCTAATTTGACAGGATTTTTATGTGTTAACTCGATGCAGTTGTTTGATTCCACCTCTGCCATCTGGAAGGCGTCGGGGGACGACGCTGTGGAGGGTGCCAAAAAGGAGTTCGTCGAGGTGCTGAAGGTGTTGGAAGGAGCCCTAGGGGAGAAAGAGTACTTTGCTGGGGATGCATTTGGGTACGTTGACATCCTTGCAATCCCAATCACTAGCTGGTTCTTGGCAAGTGAGAAGTTCGGCAACTTTAAGGTTGAGGCTGAGTGCCCTAAGCTGTCGACTTGGATCAAGAGATGTATGGAGAAGGAGACTGTTGCCAAGGTTGTCCCTGACCCAGAAAAGATCTACGAGTTTGTTATCAACTTGAGGAAGATGTTCGGAATTGCCTAGAGAAAGGATTTAAAGTGATAGTTTCAAGTCTTCGGTTTTTCTTGATTTCCAATAAAGACATCTGTATAATAATAAAAACTATGGTGGAGTTAAAGTTAATCAACAAAGATGATACTTCAACTGAGAGTTGAAATTTGAAATGTAAGTTCTGCAAGTATATTCCTTTTTTGCTGTCTCACTATAAAGACAGAATAATTCGTCAATGGAAGTGTATGTTATGTGTTGATCATTGGATTTTATAATAAACTGCACAGTTTATCTGTTGTACAACAGCTACTTAATGTTACATGCAAATGTCTTCTACAGAATTCGAACTATTCATTGCTCATATCATGACGATCCTGAAAGTTATGAAGCCAGTACGGCATGAGATTCGAGTTTCGCCCTAACCTCATCCAGACAAGCTTGAAGATCCTGGAATTCTTGTGTGTCTGAGAAGCTCGACGCCTGATGAGTTGGGAGAAAAGAAAACCTTCATGTCAGTAGTTATTCTTTTCCTTTGTAACCAAGAAAAAACGGACTCCATGATCTCAGCTCACCTGTCTAATAGTGTTTCTCAAGTGCATCTCAGCTGTTGATAACTCTCGACGGCTATTTGTGGACGAAGAAATATCCATGTAAACTTTGCATAGGTCCAATGAAGCATGAGCAAACTTTTTGAATCGATCTCCATCTTTCCATAGATCAGACCCCTGAGGAAAGGGCATCAACTATAATGAAAAAGTCCTACCAAGCAATGAACTTTGAAGCCATACAAAGTCGTGTGTGCTCGTTTTGACTAAAATTTAAGTTTCTAAAACTGTAGTTGAAGAAAACTCAAACAACATCCTATATAAAAATTATAGCAGTTTTTGATAAATTTTAGAACAACTCATAATAGTCATTTCTAGTAACCTACTCAATTTTTGTAATTAAGCAAATTATCTATCTCATCAATTACTTTCTATAAAATTAAAAATATTTTATATCCTATGAACTCAACTTTTTTCTAAAACCATATCGAACAACTTTTGTTCTCAAGTTTCCTCAAATTTTATAAAATGTTACTATAAACTACCAAACAAACTTTCATAGGAACAGTTCAGTACTAATGAGCTGATAGAAAGCAACATATTGGTGCACCTGATATGCTCTGATTTGCTTCAAGAAGGCTTCCGAACACATAGTGAGATCTCCTTTGATTTTATGCCACCTGGCATACAATCCCCAAATCTCTGCTCTGCTCACGTTTTTCACTATCTGGATCACAAAGAGAGATCAGTAGAGTTGATTGAGTATACGAAGGATAATATTACACAACATGCATCAACTGCCACAGGTCAGGGTTCCACCAGATGCTACCTTCTGCAGAATTTTCCCCAGCAGTTCCAGCAACTGCAAAGTTTCCCTGGACTTTCCTTCTGCTTCCGAGCTGCAAACCGATTCACCAATTTGACTGGTGAGCTCGTTATCTTCGTTAGATAATGGTCTCTTTGAAGTTCTCCTTTCCATTTCTTCCATGATCCGCTCCAATAACACGACATCAATTCTTTTACAACTAGTGATATCTGTAACTCTCTGTACAGCTTCCAAAGCCTGCAACCCAAATAACAATTATCGTATTCACATCTGACAATTTTGCACAATCTAGATCAATTTTGTTTCATATAAGCACCTTCCAGATGTTATCCACATCCATGGCTACATGACCATAGTTTTCCCACATTTGCCAGCTGTCACGTCTGCCATGAATGAAAATCGTGTTAATATCGTCATCATAGCCCAAACTTCAAATGCTTGCATGTGTTGTTGTGTCATGTGTGTTGCAAATTGTAGAGGCTGAAACAGAATCAACAAAGGAGAAGGAAGCAGCATACTTGAACTTCAATGCTTCGTTGAATGCAATGAAGGATTCTTTGCTCTTCTTCTTTATCATATGCCTGCATTTGCAATTAAGGTTGTTTCATAGACCACCGTTTACATCACATACAAACAGCTGACTTCTAGTTTTACCATTTCGCATAGAATACCCAACCAAACCTCTTAAACCCATGAACTTAAATCCAAGACTTAGTCATTACCAAAAAATGAAAGATGACTTACAAACAAGCAATATTGTTCCAAGCCTCCCCATTATCAGGATCCAGTTGAACAGCTCTGGTAAACCCATCCACAGCCTTGTCAACATCTCTAGCCTGTATCATCATTTAACAAAGACTGTCATAAAAAAACTATATTACCGAATAAGATAGAAGGAAATGATATTAGAGCAACAGTACAGGTGATGAAAGAGTGACCAAAGCACACAAGCTACCTTCAATGCAGCAGCACCAAGAGCAAACCAACCATCTGGATATAGAGAATTCGCAGCCATTGCAGATTCCCTGGGATGGTGACAAAATAACAATTGGTTGCCTCTAAATTAGTTAAAGAGCTAGAAGAAAATCATAAATTGGTAGTCAGAAAATAAGTATAGCTACCAAAGCATTTTAGATTTCTCATACTCCCCTCTGTTATACGCGCTTCGAGCTAGAGCACGCTGCAGAAAAAAAAAAAGAACACCCACATCAAGATGAAGTTACCAACTTTTCAAAAACTGAAAGAACTCATTCTGAACAATGACACTAACCTTGGCTCTAGTTGACTTATCATTTGAAACCTCAAGAGCCTTCTCGTAGAAGCTATCGTCAATTGTTATATCACCCAAGGAACACCTAGCAAAGGAAAGTATAGGCATTTAATGGAACAAGCTTTCGTATGGTTTGCATAGAAAGTGAATGTATTGACCAGCTTTCTACTCTATATCTACAGCTGAATTTGCACAAGCTGTATCACAAAAATTTGTGAGGCAAAGGTCAAAATACCAACCGCAAATAAACTCAAATAATAGGCATTACAAAGAAATGTTCACAATTTAGACAAGCCAAATTCTCTTAAGCAATATAAGTTACCATAAACATTCACTCTGACATGGATTTCAAGATTTAAACTGCTTTTCAGACTTTTAGGTTCAGGTACTTATAAACAGGAATAAATAAAGTACGTCGGTCTTTTCACAATGTCACATCTAGGATTTCCAGCGTATCCTGATAAGTCATTACTCATATCAAGATCTTTGGAAGAATTCAACTGATCTCATGATATTTTACTATTAAGACCGCAACCAAACTCTTAACTTGGAATAAAATCAATGCCGTTCAAGAATAATTGACAAACTGATTTGTCTTGGATATAAAAGAACCTTCACATCCCATAACATGACTTGTTGCAGTTCACTAAATATGTGACTACAACATGAAATTTAGAAGCAAATCATTTGGAAGAAACATGAGATCTAGAAGTAAATAATTTGGACGAAGAACTTACCATAACCTTGGGTCCTTAGGCATTTCAGACAGTCGCATCTTAATGAGTTCAACCGCAGCTGCTTTCTTTCCCAGTAAGCTGTTTTTGATGTCATAACTCAAATGAGACTCAGTTGATCAAATAATGGGAAAATGTAAAACATCCATCAGGATCTTACCGGTTGCAGTATATCAGACTGTCCCATAACTCCAGACCTTCAAAAATTCTAAGAGCTTCCCCTATCAAGCCACAGCTCACAAGGAGTTCACCATATTCCCTAAAGAGTTACAAATTAGACTCAGAAAGGTCTCCACTTAATATAATATCACCTCAGGGAAATAATGTGACTGACTTTTTCAGAGCTGGAATGGTAGGGATATTAGCTACATAGCAAAATGGAATCCTTTGTGCCACTTCAGGAAAAGGCTTTTCAAGATTCTCAACCTGAAACATGAATCGCTGACCGTAAAATGCGCTCCCAACGACTTGAATCAGAGGAATAAACACGATTCAAACATGAAATGTTAAATTTATAGATTAACTGAAACCGATGAGGTAATTGCATCGCTTACCAGCTTTCCCATCATTTCTATTGCACGAAATTTTGTGTGACTACGAGTTGACTCCCAACGGACACGCAAGAGGTCACAAAAATATTGCAGCTAGATGATAAACAAGAAGATAGTAAAATCAATGATATATGACAATCTAAGCAAACAAAGACAACAGAATCATAAGGAATGCATGAGAAAGTACTGAAATTGTTAATTAGCAGTATAAGTAGGTAAGCTATGGCTTCTTTATACTGTTCTATCCGATAGAAAGAACGATTCCTGCTCACTTACAGCAAACAGTGATGATGGCTGAGAATCAATTGCCTCAATGAATGGAGCAACATCCCAATCTGAAACAAGAAAGATGTAAATAACCACACACATAGAAATATAGCAATTAGGTCAGGAGTTCCTTTTTAATAAGGCAACTTACTTTGCAATTCGTCTTGCCGAGAACCTTGCTGAATTATAATGCAGTGGGCCAGGATCACTGCTTGTTGGGTTGGATTTAAAAGGGCAGCACCTCCGAGACCACCAACCTCCACCAACTTCGGTTTCTTAAGTATGTCGCATGATTCAGAATTTTCATTTTTCAATAGATCCAAACTGTCTTTGGTGATATCAGATTGTGAATCGGTGCCACCATTGCTTAATCTGTCTGAAACAAGCACTTTTTGAGCCTTGGGTTCTAGTTGATGAACAGTACGATATCCAAGAACTCCAGTAACAGATAGCTGAAGCCCTGCCACAACTTCAGCTGAATCGATATGCATTCTGACAGTCCCAAGAATACCCCCAAAAGAAAAAAGGTATAGTAAGAATGACTACGAAAAGAAAGAGAGAGGGGGTGCCTATTCAAGCAACAGTATGTTTCATACCTTCCTGAATCAACACGTCCATAGAGCTGCTGCATTATTCCAGCCTCTAAGTGGGCAATTGAGACAACAGCAGAAGCTTCTTCATCAAGTAACTTATCACCCCAATAATTTATTACTTTTTCCACGGTGCCAAAATGGTCCAGGGTCTCACCCACATACAGTTGCAACATATCAAAAAGCGAAGAAGACGGTTCGCTCAAAACTCTCTGTTCAGTAAGTAACACCCTAGAGAGCCACCACGAAATGCTTCCGATCCCAAATGTAGAAGAAACATTTCCTTCAAATAACAAATCTTTCGTCCTCATTACCAAGAT